CTGAAGGCAGTGTCTACACCCTTTTCATGTCTGTGGCCACAGGGACTGATCGAAGGAGGAATTTCATTCACACTGGGCAAGCACACGCCGTTGCTTCCTTGACCTCTCACTCACCAAGTAACTTGGTCTAAATTTTTGCCTCGATTCCTGGGTCTTACCTCCACTCCTATTCCTACTCTGGAGCCCTGATGGACCTCTTAAGGGGAGGGACCATTTCCTGCAGGATCTTTCTATTCATCTTTTTGGGAATTTGATGAGAATTGCTCTTTGGGGCCAAGGATTTCCTATCCAATTTCAATCTTGTCTCATAGCATCTGAGTACCACCTTCCTCCCTCCATCCTGGCCACAGTCAGCTATGTTACAGCATATCAAATTGTCCTTTCACTTTCACAGTTTCTTGGTCTGCTAAAATTTGGCTCTCATTTACTAATTAATTCAATAAATACTGCTGAATTCCTATATGTCTCATACTGTCTTTGCTCTGTATTCTTCTTTTCCTTTAGACACTCCCTCCTCATCTGCTATTGCCTCATTAGCCTTAATCCTGTCTTCTATTGGTGGGTTTTAAAATTTTAATTTCAACGATCATTTTACTTGCTGGTGAGTTGTTTGTTGTTATTGTTTGTTTGGGGCTTTTTGTTTGCCTTGCATGGATTCTTTTTTTTTGTTTGTTTGTTTTATTTTTTGGTGTTTTTGAGACAGGGTCTCCCTATAGCCCCAGCTGTCCTGGAACTCACTATGTAGACCAGGCTGGCCTTGAACTCACAAAGATCTGCCTGCCTCTGCCTCCCAAGTGCTGGGATTAAAGGCCTGAGCCACCATGCCCAGCCAAGTATAGATTCTTTTTATGATGAAAGGAAAGGAAAGCAAGTGAGTGTGGGTTAGAAAGTCTACCCTGGAAGGCTGGAGAGATGGCTTAGCAGTTAAGGGCACTCTTGCAGAGGACCCAGGTTTGGTTCCCAGCACCTACATGGTGGCTTACAACTGTCTACAGTTCCAGGGGAGCCAACACTCTCTTTTGGCCTCTGCAGGTTAACAGGCATGCACATACAGACGTGGTACACATACATATATGCAAGCAAACACTCATACACATAAAATTAAAAAAGGAGAGAGAGAGAAAAAAAAAATCCAAGGCTGGCAGCTGGACGTGGTGGCACAGCCTGTAATCCCAGCACTCTGGAGTCTGAAGCCCATCCGGGCTACAAAGGTAAGATTCTATCATTCCCCCTCCCTGACCCCTCCAAAAAAAAAAGAATCCTGGAGACAGTAAGATGGCTCGGCGAGAGTCAAAGTGCTTCTGGAACAAATTTGATGAGTTCAAAACCCAAGGGAGGAGAGAACTGACTCCTAAAAGTTGTTCCCTGGTATACATGCACACACACACACACACACACTTTAATAAATTTTTTAAAATTGCTAAGCTAGGGTATAGCTCATGGTAGAACACTTGTATAGCACCAACAAGGTCCTGGATTCCACCCCCAGTATTGAAAACAAACAAAACCCGACCCCCAAGTCCTGGGCTTACCCATCACCCTAATCACCACTTCATCTAACGCCTTCCTTCCTCTTACTCTAAGAACATGCAAGTCATCACCCTCAAGCCACCTACCTGCCTGTACTTCCCCCACCCCCTTACCTCTTAAATCCCTGACGAAGGACAATCTAAACCCTATTTCTACTTCCTGGCTTGCTATTCACTCCTCAAGCCCTTAGCCCTTTGATGCACTACAGTTCTTCCAGTCATCGCATTCTCGCATCAAGTACCTTCTAGTATCTGTCAATTAATTAATTAATTAATTAATTAATCTATTTTTATTTGGTTGATTAGTTGGGTTTCCAGAGACAGATCTCACTGAGACTAGGCTTAGTGGCTCAGACCTATAAAATCAACACTTGTGAAAACAAGGCAAGAGTATAAAATTTGAGTCTAGCCTGAACTACATAGTAAGATGCTTTTTAAATGGGGGAGGGGGCGCTGAAAAGATGGTTCAGCGGTTAAGAGCACATGCTGCTTTTCCAGAGAACCCAAGTTCAATTCCCGACACCCACATCAGGCAGCTCGACTCACAGCAGCCTATAACTCCAGCACTGCACTCAAGTGCACAAATGCACACATGGACACACATATACATATAATTTTTTTTAAATATAAATTTTGGAGCTGGAGAGATGGCTCAGTGGTTAAGAGCACTGACTACTCTTGCA